TTTTTCGAGACAGGGTTTCTCTGTAGCTTTGGAGTCTGTCCTGGCACTCGCTCTGGAGACCAGGCTGGACTTGAACTCACAGAGGCTGCTTCTGCCTCTTGAGTGCTGGGATTAAAGGTGTGAGATACCACTGCCAGGCTTAAAATTATTATTAATTCTTTACTTTTTATTATGAGACAGGGTCTTTCCCACTTTTCCCTAGGCAGCCCTTGAACTTGTGATTCTCCTGACTCAGCTTTGAATGCCTGTGATTCCTAACATTCCTTAGCCAACAGCCCCAGTACTAATGTCTGACACTTGGTTGACAAATTCATCCCTTCCTCCCTCCCAACTCCTTCACTTCCATTTGTATTCAGTTTTGAAAGACAGCTTCATTGGATATAGTTCTGAGTTGACAGCCCCACTGGTGGTACTTGACAGATATATTCCATTATGTGGTAGCTTGTATGGTTTCTGAAGTCTCCCTGCATCATGGCTGATCGTGAGTAGTCTCGGGCAATGTTCTTTTTCTTGGATTGCTTGTAGGATTTTCTCGGTGTTTTGTGAGCTCTGATTCCTGAGCGCTTTGTGTGCTCTACTTGGCACTTGTCGGCTTTCTTGGCTCTTTGTGCTTATGGTTTGATTTATACTTTGAAAAATTTCGGCCATTATTTCTTCACATTTTTGTTTGCTTTGCTCTTTTTTCTGGTTCTATAATAAAATATGTGTTATGGTATTTGATAGATCACACATCTGACTGACAATTGACACTCATTTTTCATTCTTTTTCTTTTTTTTAAAGAATTTATTTATTTATTGTGTATACAACATTCTGCTTCCATATATATCTGCACACCAGAAGAGGGCACCAGATCTCATTGTAGAGGGTTGTGAGCCCCCATGTGATTGCTGGGAATTGAACTCAGTACATTTGGAAGAGCAGCCAGTGCTCTTAACCTCTGAGCCAACTCTCCAGCCCCCCTCATTCTTTTTCTTAATCCTTCATTTTGGTTAGCCCCCTGTCCGTTTTGAAGTATACTTACTTTTCTTTTCTTTTTCTTTCTTTTTTTTTTTTTTTTTTTTTGGTTTTTCCAAACAGGGTTTCCCTGTCGCTTTGGGGGCTGTCCTGGAACTAGCTCTTGTAGCCCAGGCTGGTCTTGAACTCAGAGAGATCCACCTGCCTCTGCCCCCTGAATGCTGGGATTAAAGGCATATGCCACCAACGCCTGGCTTACTTACTTTTTCTTATAGATGCTGTTCTTTGTTTCTTTTCTTTTTTTAATATTTTATTTATTTGTTATGTATACAACATTCTGCTTCCATGTATATCTGCACACCAGAAGAGGGCACCAGATCTCATAATGGATGGTTGTGAGCCACCATGTGGTTGCTGGGAATTGAACTCAGGACCTCTGGAAGAGCAGTCAGTGCTCTTAACCTCTGAGCCATCTCTCCAGCCCCATGTTTCTTTTTTTCAGGACAGTCTCTCCATGTAGCCCTGATTTGTCCTGGAACTCACTCTGTACATCAGGCTGGCCTTGAACTCACAGAGATCCACCTGCCTCTGCCTCGTAGTGCTGGGATTAAAGAAAGGTGTGCCACCACTACCCGGCTGCTGTTATCATTTTAAAAATCTTTATTTGTGTTCATGTGTTATATTTGTGAGTATAGACACATTTGTGTGTATGTGATGGTCAGAGGAGGGTGTTTGTCACTCTCTACCTCATTTCCTGAGACAGGACCTGGAGCCAGGCTAGTGGCCAGTAGGTAGGTCTCAGGGAGCCTCTTCTTCCCATCCTCCACAATGCTTGGGTTACAGGTCAATTTCATGGCCAGTGTTTTTACAGGAGATCTGGGAATATAAACTCAGGTTCTCATGCTTGAGTAGCAAGCACTCTTATCCACTGAGCCATCTCTCCAGCGCCCTCATTTTCCTTCCTTCCTTCCTTTTTTTTTTTTTTTTTAGTTTTTTTTTTTTTTTTTTTAAGATTTTATTTATGTATTATGGTTATTAGCCACCATGTGGTTGCCGGGAATTGAACTCCTTGAACTCAGAAGAAGAGTCAGTGCTCTTAACTGCTGAGGCATCTCTCTAGCCCCCTTCCTTTTTTTTTTTTTTTTTTTTTTTCTGAGACAGGATTTTTCCGTGTAACAGCCCTGGCTGTCCTGGAACTCACTTTGTAGACCAGGCTGGCCTTGAACTCACAGAGATCCACCTGTC